TGTACCAATCTGCAGCTTGCATCTGCAATCACCTTCGACCAATCTGTGGTCCTCATCTGCATCGCGCGTTCCGTTCGTCGCATTGAGTTGTCTCGCTGCACGTCTGTATCGTACGTTATCGTTCCGATCGTTAGGCTTCTTTCTTAGACGTCGAAACTATGATGTCATAGCCGATCGAATTGTTCGCGGCTAGTTTTACAATCTGTGCGATTTTCACGATTCGAGGTGCAATCGGATATGTGTAATTCGATGCATTTTTGCGTGGAATTGAATTATACCGGGGTATTACGTCGTGTAACGTGAAATGTTACGGTCGCCTTGATTTCCACTTAATACGAACTCTTGAATTTTTCTAAGAGTGATAGGAATTTTATGGACTTTAAGTTGAGACGAAAAACACTCAGACACTCAAGACTTAACTAATAAGAGATTGATGAGGGATCTATTAGTACCTAATATGTATCCTTAGATTCTTCAACAGTAACAAGAATTGTATGAATTTTAAGTTAATGTGAAAAAAACTTAAGACGCTCAACATTCAGTTAACTACCTTTGAACACTCAACTAATAACTTGAGGAATTGTTTAGCACCGAATATGAGCGCTTAGGTTCTTTAACAGTAACAAGGATCGTATGAATTTTAAGTTAACGTGAAAAAAACTTAAGACACTCAACATTCAGTTAACTACCTTTCAATACTCAACTAATAACTTGAGGAATTGTTTAGCACCGAATATGAGCGCTTAGGTTCTTTAACAGTAACAAGGATCGTATGAATTTTAAGTTAACGTGAAAAAAACTTAAGACACTCAATACTCAGTTAATAAGGGATTAATTAGGAATTGATGAGGGATTTATCAGCACCTAATGCGATCCCTTAGATTTTTTCAACAGTAATAAGAATTGTATGAACTTTAAGTTAACATGAAATAAACTTAAGACACTCAACACTCAACTATTATCTTTTCAGCACGCAAACTAACAACTTGAGAGATTATCCTTAGATCTCCCCAAAAGTAACAAGAATTGTATGAATTTTAATTTAACAAAAAAAGAACTTAAACACTCAACTAACAACTTGAGCGATTAATTCGCGAATAATTAGAAATTCGACATTTCACGCTAAACATACCAATTAACTGCACTATTGTCAAAAATAGACATATTGTCAGAAGTATATAAATCTCTCTAAAAATATGCGGGAATATTTAATACGAAATACCCATTGAGAAATCATTCAGAAATGAACGAATTAATTTGTCTAACATCTGAACAAGACCGTCTTAAATTTCGCTACTCCGCAAAAATTGCGCAATACCGAACATCCCAGATCTCGTACAAGCTAGACAATTTGCATGAACGACAGTAACAACTTCACCGCTCGTAATAACATTTTGCATAAAAGACACGATCGACTAAGATAAACCTTAGAGAAGCTTTTCGTAAGAGGTCTAATACCTCGTAAAAACGGACGGCCTTAGTGCACCGCAATAATGTCTCCATAAACTAATTCGACATATATCCGTCGTGTGCGCGCACACAGGTGCATCTAGACGAGGCGGGTACGTGACGGAGATACTAATTCAGTTAAAGGGAATTAAAAGAAGTTATGAAACACGCGATGCGAAAAGCGCGTATGCAAATCAGGGAGCATGCATGGCAGAGCGGTGGAATCGTGGCCGGTATTAAAAGCTAGTCTGAAACGACCTGTTGCACTTTGTACGTGCACCGTGCGGAAACTCGCGCGACCTGCGTTCGCGATTAGATCGTCGATAACTATGGTCGGTCCTTGGTGACACGCGCGCTTAATTCAAGTCTCGCCGGTTCGTGAAACTATCCCTTCTCGAGTTTACACGGCGGGTACACACTTGTAAAGAAACCTTTACAACCGTCTAGCTATCGATGTTAGACACGAACGTGTTCGATCGGTTTTATTCGATCGTTTATTAGGGAAATGATCGTTACGAGGGAAAATCGTAAAATCGTCTCGCGAGAGATAATATCGTAGGTTTGTTCGAGATCCATTTACGACTCGATTCGTCTTCGTTCATGTGAAGAAAAGTTATGGTTGATTGGAATTTTATGTTTCGATGGGAGAATCGGGAATTAATAATATTTTACGACGATGTTTGTTGTTGTTAAGCATGTTTAATAATTTAATGGATAATCTCGAGTGATCGTAAATTTTAAATTGTCGGTTATCCCGTGTACGATACTGTTCTTCGTTGAATAACATGCAATTGAATTTATAACGATCGTGTAACATTTCGATTCAATTGTAGATTTTAATTTAAGCCTTTGTAACGCCGTGTGACTTAGAAGTGGCTATTTTATGTCTAACGACTTTAGTAAATTTACTATAGTTATGCTAAATTTAAATAATATAAAAATGCAGTTTGTTTCACCCTGGGAGAAATGGGGAGCGGGTAGGGTGACTCTTCGGTAGCTTTCTCCAAGTCAAGCTGCAATTCCTCGCGACTAATGTTAAGATGGGTGACCGCCAACGTTGGAAAAAAAAATTTATACACATAATTTATAAAAAACTAACCACTTTATATATAAAAATAATCGCTACTCGATTGACGCTACCCAACTACCTTTCGGTTCCGACCATGGTGACAGTGTGAGAGATATTACTGCATCTCGTTTGAAACGAGCGTAATGTACAAAGTGATTTTTCATTACACATGGAACGAAAGAGGCAAAGAATAATGTACAGAATTATGTAAATTGTGATTGTGAAATTGATTTTGTAAGATTTTCGATTCGTTTATTTCACGCAATTCATACCGCATCCTCTCCATTAGACGCTAGAATGAAAATATTACAAAATTTTCAAACTACGATGCGGATGGTATAATCATTGAATAATAATTGCATTTCATGCACATAGTTTAGGTGGTTCTGCACGGACTACTAATGTTGCGTACGAAGTCGCAGGAAAATTGAACTGTGAAAGGTATGCAACAGTCGACCACAACAACTTGAAAGAAACTGTTTGAAGAAAGGCTTTCTTAACTGTGCTTGCCTAATGAAATGTTGCGTTGATATTTCAGAATGTCCAATTCTTGGGTGTCTGATTGAGCACTGGAGCTCTTACCCCTTT